TAAAATCATTAGCAAACAAAAGTAAATAGATGAATACAGAAACTAGAATGATTAAATAGAGAATTTACAAGCAGGTTTCAGATATAACAGTTAGTGTAAAACCTTCAGGTAGACTACTTAAATTAGACAATAACTAAAGTTGTATAAGTAGCTAGTTGTACACTCTTTTTATAATTACCTTCTGTAGTTGTAATGTAACTATTAGCCAAATATATTATCAATAAAATCCTAAATTACAAGTACTTACCTTAATATTTAAAAAAAAAAAAAGTTATATATATAACCAGTTGTATATTTTTTTTTATAATAGTTTAATATAAACATATATTTATATAAATATATGTGAGATATAATAACCTAGTAAAGTAGTCAAGTTGTTAATTCTCTAAATAGTAGATTGGGTGTTCAAATCTTATTGATAATAGAAATTTGGATAATTACCTATATAATATTTATATTACAGTAACTGTTACCAACAATTAGGATAGAATATCTGTAATAATAATCATATCAGCATGACTGACAGGTTATAAAACATCTGTATAGTTATACAAAAGAATGCAAACTAACAATTGAATAATGCAAACACTAAGTAAATTTTTGTGTTATATAAATCTATTAAAATTAGATAACAAAAAGTTTATTTGGAAAAATTCAAATAGAAAGATAATTAAATCTTTGATAATACTATTGTAAAAACTAGCTTAAAAAAATAAATATCAAGATTATAATATCCAAATAGGCAAGAAACTCTAAATTGAGAAAGACTTGAAGGTACTACTAACTAGACTATTAGAATAAACTAAAGAAAAAAATATTAAGCTAATCTGATATATTGATAAACTGGTTATAGTTTTATATAGACCATCTAAATTGGATATTTAAACATAAGGCAGAGGTATATTAAAGTACTAGAGGTATACTATGAAGTAGATACTAAAGTTTAAGTAAACTTTACAAAAACATAGCAGTTAAATAATATAACTCTGATTATAAGTGTTGGTTTTGTTATAGTAATATCTAAGTTAATTATAAAAATGAATACAGAAAGCTCTAAAGAATTTATTTAAAAATAAAATAATCTTAAGTTTAAGATAATGATCTAGACATCTGAATATAATCTAGTAATATTAATACAAGTTGTAGATTTAGAGAGTTTAAAGTAAAACATTTAAGCAAAAATGTTAAATATAGCAATTGGTAAAGAATCTTTAAATGAACTTTTTAAATAAGTAATATAGAAAAGTTATATATATAGCTAATTGTATATTCTCTTATAATAATTTATAGAATTATATTACCAAAAAGTCATTAATAAAAGTTAAAAACTAAAGAGGTTATTTTAATATCAAAAAATATATATATATAAATATATATTTAACAAAAATAATAATAAAATTAAAATAAAGTGTAACAACTTAATAAAGTAGACAGGTTGTCAACTTTCAAGTAACATATCTAAAGTTCAAATTTTACAAATGATAAAATTATATCTGTGTTATGATAACTAACTTTGTTGATTAGTTTAATTAAATTATCTATAACCTTCAGTTGTATTATTTTAAATAGAAATTCAGAATATTGTAAATATTAAGAGTTTTATACATTTTTGAATATAACTTTTAATGTACCAAACCAAATTAGATAAAACAACCACTATTGGATTCAACTCACTAAGATGATTCTATGAGAATAAGATCATATAATTCTGATTACAGAATCACAAGATCAGAATGATTTTAATGAAAGTACTAATTCTAGTATATGTGACTTGATTTAGATTGGCTCACATTATTGTATTAGAAATCTAACATTTCTAACAGATTTATTAGATCTAATATATCTAACATATCTAACATATCTAACATATCTAACAGATATTACATATCTATTATATCTATCATTTTTATTATATCTATTATATCTATTAGTTTTTATATATATTAATATTATTTTAAATAGCATTTATTAGCAATAGAGTAGTTTTTATTGTAATAATTTATATATATAAATTGTCTATAAAAGCACTACTTTCTGACCCTTCAAAAAAATTAAGTATCTATATATTTTATAACAAATAAACTGAATGTAATATTTAGTATTTTCATATACTATCTATTATTATCTTTACTTTAAAATCCCAAATCACTTTGTATTTTGGTAAGTTTTGTGTAGACTTTATATAGAATTTGTTAAGTTATAGTCATCATACTATAGTTGAGTAGTTTCTATTATTACTATAGTTAAAGAAAAAACTACAGATTAATATTTTGGTAATGATTATAAAATAAGTTCATAATTTAATATAGATAATTAATTTTAGTTAGTTATAAAGAAACTCTGTCAATATTGGTTTATTTGATCTGAAATTTGAAGAGTATATACTTAAAAACCTATTATATCTTTTCTATTAAACATATCTTAGTGAGAAAATTCCTCTGAAACCTGCTATTTAATATCAAAGTAATGATGTCATTTTTGATCTATAATAAATTTGCAAGAAATCTTTCTTGAAAAAGTATTTTGACTATTATTACATGAACTTTAAACATCTATATCTCAACAATAACTAGATTGATTTTAGTATTTTAATCTTCTTTAGAACCAGAAAGACTTTTTCTACAACTTTCTCTTAAGTAATAAAACCTATTATCATAGTAATTTCAAGAAATATTTACCAATTTCTAAAAATTAGAATTTAGAAATGAAAGCATAAGTATTTGTATTGTAACAAACAGATTTTAGATTACTAGTATATATAATTTAATTTTGAAAAATACTTATTAAAAGTATTCTTATATATTAAAGAATATACCACTCAGTTAACTATCATTAAACCAGATGATTTTTGTAAAATTTGTTATCCTATAATTTCAAATATACTTTTTAATTTTCAAAACTTTTATTTCTGTTATACTAAACAATATTTTGCTTGTGACTTTTCTGTAAAGCTATAGAATATTTTAATTAGTTTAAATAAATCTATATCTAATATAACCTACCTCAATTAAAGAATATTATTTTTAAACTTATTTTTAGTTTTAGATATTCTAGTTCTTTTAGAAATATTGTTGATATTATTAGAAATATAATATCTTTAGTTATTTATACAAACTGCTATTAAAAAAACCTTTTTATATTAATAGAAAAAGATTTTATATCCTCTTATCATCTTGATTTTAAAGACTATAGTAATTTTTTTAAAATACTTTTTAATCTCCAACAACATATATCTAAACCCTTATCTAACTAACAAATTCAAAATATCATAATCACTATAGGTAATGTTCTTAACTATTTAAAAAAGAATAAAAAAGATAGAAATGTCCTAAATACAATTAAGTAACAGACATCTTTCTTTTAATATTATAAACACATCTTGGAATTCTTTAGAAACAGAAATTTAAGGATAACTTATTTGTTATTACTTTAATAAATAGCTTCAATTATAAACTGTATTAATACTTACTCTTTAAGATAATTTTTATAGACAAGTTTATCTTCTTTTAATAAAATAAAATAAAATTATTAGTATTACATTATCTTTTTTGAATTTTCTCAAAGAAGAGTATAGTTTTTTAATAATATTTAACAGAAGCTATACTTCTTTCTTGGACAATGCATATACCTATAAGGGATTCTCTGTACTATGTCATCATTATAATATAAAAATTAAAAAAGCTTTTATCTATAACAATATAACTAAATATATAATCAAATTTAATCAATCATATATATTTTAATAGAGAATAACAGAAATAATACTGAGTATCATTTATTTTACTAAAGAAAATAACTGGAATCAAAATTTAAAATATATTAATAGTAACTACTTTGTATAATTATATGAAAATCATTAAATAACTTATAGATTTAATAAATTAAATAAATTTTTAATTTAAATTATTTTTAAAAAAAATACATTAGAATCTATGGATCAATAGCATAGTAATTAATGCTCTCAGGTCTCAATTGCAAAGTCATGACTTCAAGTTCAAAGAATGACAAAAACTCTGCTAGAACCATAATTAAAAAAAATCTGTAGAGAATTTCTATTTAAAAAACAAGAACAAGATTTATACAAAAAAAAATATAGTAACTAGCATAGTTACAGAGTTGAAAACAACCAAATAAAATGTAATCTATCAACAAATGATGTTAACATTAAGAGAACCTGATTTAAGAATATGTAGAATTGAAAATATTGAAATTTATAAACAATCCAACTGATGAGTCATGTAAAGTTAGAGAACTGCAGACTGAAGAAGATAGTAGGTTCTACACTGCAGAACAAAAAACCAGAAATGTCATATGACAGACTTAATAAAGCATGAGTTATCTTACAGTTTGGTAATATATAGAGACCACATGCTGTTTGATAATCTTCACAGAATGATAACTCTGATCTTTAGGAAATGTGACAGGTCCTAAAGGTATCTAAAGACCTTCAGAATAGTGAAGGAAGGTAAAGATAAAAAAAAAATACATTATTTTTCTTAAATATAAAGTCTTTTAAGTATTTAGGTGAAATTTCTAGTTAAGTCAATTTTTAAAATTTAAAAAAGATACAATTTGAAATTTAAGTTTTATATGAAATTTTGAATTGTATCTCTTCGAAATTTTACATAGTAACTTAACTAGAAATTTCATATGAATACTTAAAAGACTGCAAATTTGAAAAAAATAACGCGTTTTGCAAAAATAAAAAAAAAAATTTTATTAAGACTAATGAAATTTGGATATTTTAATATAAAATCGTGCTTAGGTTACACCAAAAAATCACATTAATTAATTTTCATGGGACTATACATATGTTTGATCTACATAGCGATAGTACATTGGACACCCAACGCGACGTGTAAAACGTCTTTGAAGTTTAAGAATGTATAGGCAATGGATATGTATAAAACCGAAAAGTAAATGAAATAAAAACTTCTGATACCGATTGTATTGAATTATCTTGACTTAATAAGCTATTCCTTTTCGTTTTATACTAATAGGCCAAGAAAATGACAGTAGCATAGTATCGGTAATGCTTCCTCGCCCACGAACTGGTAACAACTTATCTTTTTTTAGTTATTAAACATTTGCATGTACAATAGATAATATTTTTTTTATAATATAGGGTTACCCGCACGTTACCTTCTTCAAGATAACAACTTGTATGAAGCGTTATATGTAGATTATGAACATCAAAAATCTTGGTTTGTTAAGGACACAATCGAAAAAGGTATTTCAAGATGAAAGAAATGATTTAAAAATAATTTTATTATGCTTGTAAAATGACTTGTTACCTGAAAAAATTAGATGGCAGCTTCGTGTATTTTACTCGATTCGATCCGTTATTTTTGTTAATACCAATCCTAGATAGTTGTCGAAAAAAAGTAAATTATTTCAAATTAGATTCTTGTTTTTATATTTTTCTATATCAATTAACTGCATTCCAATGTTTAGAATTCAGAGTTCCAAGGACTGTTTCTCACGTTAGATGATATTTTAGATAATCCTGAATATCCAAGTTTAATGCGATTATCTTCAATAAGTAGCATCTCATTGTATATGGATTGGATTTGTGATAGCAAAGGTTAGAAAATTTTTAACTTTGGAAACATTATATGGCAAATCCCCATCTATACATAATTTATGATTATTTTAGAATCACCCACCAAAGTTTATAGATTGAATGATGAAAAAGCAATGAGTTGGCTAAAAAAAAAGGTATTATGATGATAATTCGTTATCTTTGCAAAATTATATCAATTAATGTGGACATTATTATGTTAATTAGGTTACAAACATTTTATCCAAATTTGATAACGATAAATACGAGTCATTTAAAAAAATCGACCAACGATTGGACAATGAGATAAGTGATAAACAACATCAGCATGGTAAACGTTAAATCTTTTTTGGTTAGTCGTCTGAAATGTATCTCTGAAGTATAACTAATAAATCTTCAGAGCTTCGATTAAAATACGCACTAGAAATTGTTATGGAATATTTGCCAAATTATTGGGCTGAGCAATTGAAAAAAGAATACAAGTAGGCATGGATGTTTTTGGTTAAATGATAAATATTCAACTTACATACCTGCCTGTCTTGAATTAGTTTTGAGACGCTTGGTGCATGGGATAATAACGCTATCGTATACATGTCGGCAATTTCTACTGATTACCATGTAAAACATTCTGTTGAGAAAGATGTTGGTTCAACTGTCAAGGTGATTGCCATAAATGATATCCATTTATTACTTTTAGTTGAATGTATATTAACAAGCATTAATACTTTAAAGAAACGTAAATTAACGGTTGGACAAGCATCCTTGGCTAAAGCCAATAAAAAAGGGATGAAGCCACTAACGTCTTTCTTTACTAAAAATTCACAAACAAATAAATGAAATCCAGTGTTATCTTTATTTTGAATAATGGCCGAATTAAGCTTAATTTAGGCCGAAATTCGAAATTACATCCCTGCTCGTTATTTCGCGATTATACGATATATATTGTATATAACTTTTTTTTGAAAAAAACTTATCCGGTTATTACAGTATTAAATCATAAAGTTTTTCAAATTTGACTCGGCCCGGTTACAAGAACCAATTAATTAACTTTACATGACCTAATGTTCAAAAATAAATTATAACATAATTCTATACAAATTTGCCTAAAATAAAATCTAATAGCATTCAAATGTTTAAACTTTGTAAATTACGTTTAATACAACCAAATGAGAAATAAATAATAACCTTATTATAAATGTTAATTCTTTTAATATTGGTAGTTAACCACCATGTAAAGTTGATATAAAAACGATATCGTCGTTATCTTTAATTTCATATTCTAATTCTCCTTCTAGTTCCCAATCTGTATCATTAATTAAAACTAAAATACCAGGTCGACTAATTTTTTGATCAATTTAAGGAAAAAGTATTATTACAAAGAATATATTATAATAGAATTTTTGGAGATAAAAGGAGAAAACCTACACTGTATTACCACTAACAAATAACTCAGACCGCTCTTGGAGTAAATTATCTTTAATCCATAAAATCTTTATCGACAGCGAATCAACATTAAATTAGTTTTCTAAGATTACATCTAAAAAATTTCAGGTTCATAATGTATATTAATCGAAGAAAAAAACAAACCAAATCTTCCATAGTAGTAGGTTTTGGTAGATTAATTCTTGAAGGTATTTCTATAATTTTTTGTCTGACATTATTGAACAATAGTTCTACTCCTCCACTTTTTTTTTTAAAAAAAAAAATAACCATCAAAAAAGGTTTGATGGGTATTTAGCCTCCTTTCGGAAGTGAAAAAAATGAGAGATTTTCTTACCTGAATGTTAAATTTACTTTTATTAGTGATGACATTTACGTTTGCTAATCAAGAACAACTTTAGGTGAAAATCGGATCGTTAAAATCCATTTTATTTGTTGTCGATCCTTGAATTTTTATTGGATGCTTAGGGTGAATGTTTATATGAGATTATAAGAAAAATCGCTAACGAATCTGATTATATTTGACAGAAGCAAGTAACGTCAGAGAACAAAATTTCTTTAAAGCATCGTTAGCTATTTATTATGTAAATTTGTTATTTTAAAATAGGAAGTAACAAGTTTTTATAATAAACAGCTAATGAAGTTTTAAAGAAATTTTGTTCTCTGATATTAATTGCTTCTGTCAAATTTAATCTGATTCATTTGTGACTTTTCTAACTCTACCGAGGCGGCCTTCAAAATTACGGGTCACATTTGGAGCGCCACTGCCCTGGTTGCATAAGATCGTAAAAAGAAATTGTATAACGAACCTTGATATTACGAACAGATGTATAACGTAATAAATTTTCAGTTTACTGTTGTTTAAATTAGCTTGATATAATGAAACCATTAGTAAGTTTGGATATAATAGATTTTAAATTTTGGTACTAATAGCTTGATCTCTTTGTTTTATTAAGATCATACTTTATTGTTCAAGTTGCTTCAAGTTTAATGTATTATTTATACACTATATAAAATAGAATTACTGTACAGTAACCAACAAAAGTAATGTCTGATTTGCAGATTATTACATGTAAGCAAATAAAAGGTCTGTGCATATCTTATTCTTACAAATTTTGAGGTAATTTTTTTTTATTTTTTGTTTCTTGACATAAAGAACCAAGCACATGTCAAAGAAATTTTTTTTAATAAAAATGTTATATAAACAAATGATTGAAAAAGAGAAAGGAATGATTCTTGCTTATATTAGTATTATAAGTGTTGAACAAGTTATTTACAAGATTATGTGTAATTTAACAACAGTTTGAAGATTTTTAAAAAAATATAAAAGGATCAAAAAAATTAAAAATTTACTTTGGTTCAAATGTTTTTTCTATTTTAAAAAAGCAAAAAAAATCATCATAATAAAAAAATATGTTAAAAAAAAGATATATATTTCTGTTTAAAATTATAAATACTGTATAGTTCTGAAATTAAGTATCTTTCAAAAATAAGTATCTCTGACCCACACTATGTACAATTTGACTTGCATTATAACAATTTTGGCCTACACTATATGCAAAAAAGAGGTGTTTAATTTTGAAATTATATACTAATTTAAATCTTCAATATAGTATCTAGACTATAGTTAAGATTTTATATAATATTGGATTTTATTCTTATCTTGAAGTCTTTTTTGTCAATTAACAATATAGAAGAACATATAGAATGGTGTAAATAAAATAAAAATAAAGAGGGTGTGGGTCCCATAGCTTAATTGTTAAGCTCCCATACCCCCACAGTCAAGGTCAACGGTTCAAGTCCGGCTGGA